ACTTTCAATGGCAGCATCATATATTTCTTTACCATTTAGCACACAGATGAGGTTAAGGAGCCAGAAGATGAGGTTAAGGAGTCAGAAGATGAGGTTAAGGAAGTCAGACTCCGCAATTACTTGCTCCCTTCTCAACATAGGCCCATAAGGCCTCCTCACTGCCATAGATTCGATGACTAAACTGGAGGCTACCCTCACTCCACCACGACCTCCTCCCAATTGGAACCAACCATCGCCGTTTTAAATCACCCAACCCGTACCACCAATCACCGTCTCTTCTCTCTATGCACCAGCATAATTAACCTTCCACCAACCAAATGTCAATTTCCTCCACACAACTAGCTCCCTCCTTTTATTCTTTTCCAGGTTGACATGCTCATCTACACTCTTCTTGCATCCTGACACAAAATCTACTCCTTCCATGGGAGGTCTAGACTATTGAAAGCTTCAAATGGTATAGTTTCTTGTTTATTAAATTGAATTTGAAAAGTAATATTTTTAGTTTGTGGGAAATGTGGAGAGGAAAAATGGAAGTGGAATGACACATGTTTTAATTGGGAGAATGGTTTGCTGCTAGAAAAAGAATTGAAAATTAAATTAATTTTGGTTTAAGTTGACTTTATGGGCTTAATGGTAATTTCGTAAATAATGCGAAGTTGTATTACCAGAAGTGGATTAACTTCTGTTAGGGGTAAAGCTGGAAGAAAGATTTAATGCTGTATGTTGGGCTTTGTTTCAGCCCGTGGGATTTAATTGATTTTGGCCTGTTTTATGTAACTTTTGTCATTTTTCATTAAATTCCAAGCCCATTTTATTAAATAAAAGTTATAGATGGTTTTTTGTTAAGAAAATGTTGATTCAAACATTTTTCATTAAAGTTCCCTTAATTTTATAGTGGAACTCCAATTTTCTTCAGATCCAAGTGGTTCTCACAGAGTAAAGGACGAATATAGACAGCGGGGATGATGCAGAAGGTCAGTGATGCAGAAATGGATCCAGGGGTGGTTGTGGTTGCACTGGTTGGGTTGCAGGCTATAGGCTCACAAGTTGCAGGTACGATGCCAGAAGCAAAATCTGGTTCATAATAACATTGACCTGTTTTTATTTTTCTACAGAAAAATAACAAACCTCGTCTTTTTTTTTTACAATTTTTTTTCTCTTGAAAATTAATAACTAAACAAACTAAATCAAACGAACAACGAAGACACAAACAAATACCAACGAAGAAGACTGCAGACAAACTGATACTAAATGAGCAGATTAAATACCCAAGGATCAAATCTACTCTGATATAAAGTTGAATATCAGAGTACGCAATTGAATTTGAAACTTTATTAAACAAGAAATACGAAATTGCCAAGAAAATTACAAAAACTGAAGAATCTACATCTTGACTAAGTTTCTTCTCAAACTAAAGTACAAGCTATATTTATAACTAAACCAAAGAAATCATAACTTGGATGAGTTAGGTCCAAATCCAAAACTAGCAAGTAAAACCCAAAAATTAAAATAAACCTAATACTAGTATTTTCCAATACTAACCTCATTTAGGACATTGCTTCCATACCTTAGATTTTATGAACGCATTCATAGTATATTAATTTTCTATAAGCCAAACTCATGAACTAAAAAAACCTGCCCTTTTATTAATTAACTAATATGGGATTTATTACATAGAGTACTCACTGGTGATCACCTAAATATTATCCATATCCAATATTACAAAATTGACTTTTAGGGCACAACTCCAACAATTCCAACTATCACACTTAACACTAAAAACTGCATCGAATGACATATAACCCAAACATGAACATACTCAAGATCGGGTGTTACAACAAATGCATGTATCCAAATACATTTATTATTGAAATCACAGTTTATTGGTTCGATATTCTCCCAATTATCTTGTGCTCATGACATGTTTTCGGAGGCCAGGAAGGAATGTGAGTGTACATAATGTAGTCCTCCCAATTAATTGTTATTGAATCAAAGTTAAATTCTTTCACGTCTATATAGTACCCACTTGCCACCCTTTGAAGCTCCTCCGAATTGGTGTCGTCAAAACTACTGTCAAAACATGTTATTCATTGTCAATGCATTCATAATTGCAACTAATGATACAACTTTAAGTAATCACCGAATTACACCATACGTACATGCCCTTGAATAATAGGTAAGGTGTGTATAGCTGTGCCAAGCGCATCACCAATGTGAGTTTTCGATTATAATTAACACACACGTCTTGGAAATACTGGCCACATGCTTTGTTAAAGAACTTTAATCCCTGAAAACGAGAATGTATGAAAAGAAATTAAATGAGCTGAGCAAACTAGTAAGCTAGTGTGATACTAATAAAATAAGTTCTAAGACAATTTCAATATAACATTAATCCATGGCCGACAAATTACCAAAATTTGTCGGGAAAACTCTTAGGCGACATGCTTTGCGAGACAAAATGGCCGACAAATTTTTTCGTCGGAAAAGACTCTTTGCCGACAAATTTTGGCCTTTGCCGACAAAGTAGTTTTGTAGGTAAAGTCAAAATTTGTAGTAGTGCCATGTGTTATCTGTATTATGTATTTTTATATATTATATCAATATAGCATTAGTTTACTACAAAGGGTAGCTAGAACAAACCTCCAATGGTATCATGAAGAAAATATTCATGTACATGCTGAAAGTAGCCATAGTCTTAAACATCGTACACTTGGCTACTTTAACACGGTTTCCATCCTTATCTACCCATGGACTTTTGGTGAAGTGCCGGAACACAAAATCGTGAATATCACATATCTTTAAAGGATTTCTAAATGAGGATCCCACATGGAAGATGACAATAGAAGATTGATTTGCATTCACCACCATTGCTGAAATGATCGAATTTACCATCATATCAACAGGAATCTGAGTAATTTAAAAAAAAAAACAAAAACAAACAAACTTTAGTTATACATATTTGATTACCCCACACACAAATATATATTCCATATTTACATAACTTTCATAAAAAAAAAAAAACACACAATATATAGGATATGAATTTGCTGGGGTGTGGAGTCTAATTTTCCTAGTTATTAACTTTTTGGCAAGAATTTTCGTAAATTTGTTCATGATACCCTTTTTCCCCTAGATAGAATATAAATGTAGTAGTTTTAAGTTTTATCCCACATGCACGCTTGAATACATACACATAAGCGCAAATGTGATACCCTTTTTCCCCTAGAATATAAATGTTGTAGTTTTAAGTTTTATCCTTCATGCATTCCCACATGCACGCTTGAATACATACACATAAGCGCAAATGTAGTAGTCCGGTCTATATCCATGAGTATATTCATGCATGCATGTATATATGCATATATTTTACGTGTCTCTATATATATGTGTGTTGGGGAGGGGTGGGGGAATCAAGGAGTTTAAACTCACCATATCAAACACTAACGTAGGATTAGCAACTATACATGTCACCTTTCCTCTACAATATCCAGCGATTACGCTATCGATGGTTCTACGACATCCAAAAGTGAACAATTATATACTATTGTTAAAGAAAAACCAAATAATAATCATCAGACACATTAATCTTGGTGCAAGTGCACTTGCATGCAGTTTTTCTAGGTGAACTTTTTGGAAAAATATAATAACCTTTCAGAAATTTTATTGTTAGTTCTGATGTGTCTATCCCAGCAATACAGAGTTTAGTTTATCTGAAGATCTTATTTAATTATGTTATGGAAAATATTCTTTTGCAAGAGTACTTTTTTGGCAGTGTAATGTTAATTATGATCGCCACTTAGTACTACGATCTAGTGGTATTCCTCTTTATTTGTAACTGCGAGATCTTAAGTTCGTTATCTCGAAAGAAAAATTCGAACCACATTATTATTAGCCCATTGTGAGACTTGGCCCACTCCCCCACCCTCTTAGTGTACATCGTTTGTTAAAAAAAATGTTAATTATGATTCCTACTAACAATCTGACAGCATATGTTAATGACTTTTTGGCATAATAATCTTCGCTAATGAAATTAAAAATCACGAAAGAAGTTTTGGTGCCAAATTGTAGGTGTTAATATTATAATACTAAAAGTTCAAGATTCATGAAAAAATTAATACCTGAAACCTTGAATCCAACCTGGAAATGGCTCCTTGCAAGTGCTTGTGACCACGGTGGGGCGAACAATGACTACGGGTAAATTACCTCTTGAGCGCCCTAAACATATTTCCCCAATCGCTTTTGTAAATACATAGGTATTTGGCCATCCATAAAATTTTGCCCTACAATTAATTATATAAAAGAAAGGGCAGTAATAATTAGCATAAATCGAATTAAAACTTTAATTTGAATGGCTCCGTAGCAATATTGTTAAAATGTCAGACTTATAAGTTTTAAGAACATATTATTTCTTTTGATTTAATAGGGGAGAAAATAAACTCAAAACCTTTCAATGCCAAAATCTTTCATTGTGCTTGAAATAACTTCCTCAGAAGCACCTTGACCTTTTAGTTCATTCAATTTCTCCTCCACTAAGATACTTTCTTTTTCTTGGAAATCAAATTTGGTGGTCTCCTTGCCTCTTCATCTATAAAGGAAGACGAGTCCTCTGGTATGAGCCCTGCCTTCTCACCACACACATAAGCTAACAAAAGGAATACAAGGTTGAGAAAAAAGGGGGCAACGAAAAATAAACAACGAAATGAGAAAGCTGTACTATTTAAAACGTAGGGCAAACACGAATTGGAACAAACACGCAAAAGCGAACCAGTTGATACGTGAAGAAGGATCTCTAGTTTTAAACATTTCTTTGCAAAGCTCAATACATTCAGACATTCAGAACTCCAAATGTATTGACGTCCAACGCAACATCATATCTGCACAAAAGTACATAAATTTAAGCGAACTAATATATATATTACGAAAAATAACACAATGCATTATGTATATGTTGGATGCATATAACCTTGAACGTAAATACTCCGGTCCATATAATCAATTACCTTTCATCAAAATTAGTTGTTGATGCAAAGTTAAGTATGATTTGTATTTCGTTGCACATTTCTTCTCTCAATTGGAATTCTTTCACTCCTAGATTTTCAGAAGTTACATCTCCTGGGATAGCCACAACTTTTTCTATTATGAATGAATCAAAATCTGGACCCAATATCTCCTTGAGAACCCTGAACAACTCCTTCCCTATAATCTTAATTTTTAAATAGAAGAAACAAATTAATAAAATATTTGACCTTTGCCAAAGTACATGCGTTTTCAATGGTGTGGTTTTTAATTATACATGTGGTTGTATATATACGTCATTATACTTCCGATCGGTGGCTGAGTTGGTATCCGAAGCTCTTAAAAGAAGATAGATCTTTTTAACATCTGGTTGAACTCTCAGTATTTTCTCCACAAATACTGCATGAATATATTAGAAAAGTTACTATTAGTAACAGAACGTGGAAGTACTAGGTAACGTACGTGCAAAATTTAAGAGAGGGAGTATACCCATTGCAAGGAAGCCAGTGGCCCCAGTAACCAAAATGGTCTTGTTCTGAAGATATCCTAGTATGCTCTTTAACTCCATTGATTAAATGATTCAAATGAAGTAGGTTTGCTTTGAGTACAAGTTTAGAAGGAAGTGTCTTGGTTGATCAGTACTTATAGTAAAAGTTTAGAGAGAGAGAGAGAGAGAGAGAGAGAGAGAGGTAGGTTTGATGTACAAGTTTAGAAGGAAGTCTCTTAATTGGTTGATCAGTACTTATGGTAACATTTAGAATGTTGTCCAGCATTCAGAGTATCGTGGGAACATTTGGTAGAGTGTACTTAAACTAATGTTATGATTCTTTTTTCTTGCATAAATTCAAAAGTTTGGTTAAAATCGAAGGCACATTCATCAATTTGCTCTTCCCCAGCAAACTTGTATAGAGCTTAAAATCGAAGGCACATTCATCAATTTGCTCTTCCTCAGCAAACTTGTATAGAGCTGCCAAACTCCCTCCCCGAACCCCCCCCCCCCCAACACCCAACACTAGATTTTAAAACTTTTTATCCAATTTTCCATCAATTTTGATCACGCAAACAACACATGACAACTTTATGGGGGCAAAAAGAATGGAAATTTTTAAAATCCAACACTAGGGAGAAATTGGCTATTTATATAATTTTAGGGGGGTAATTGGCTAAAGTTACAGTTCGGGTGGGGGGGAATTGGCTAATTATAAAAATTCAAGGGGTAATCATCTAAAATTAAAATTTAGGGGGAAATTAGCAGCTCTACACAAGTTCGAGGGGCAAAACCGACAAATACATCATCAAAATAAATGTAAGCATATATCATTTGGTTGACAATATCATTTCAATGTAAGCTATGAATTCGGGGGCCCACTTCCATCGGTTTTTATGTCGAGGATTAAAGTGGGGAGTTATGCCAATCACATGGACATTTTGGCCTAAAAAAATTTAAAGTTTTCTTGCTAATCTATGTAATTGATGTAATAATATATAATGCTATACTTTTGATCTATTTATATCACAATTTTATACCATTTTAAGTAGACAGCCACATCATCTAAAATGTTCTCAATTTTTATTCAATTAATAAGAACATAAAAAATAAAAAATAAAAAACCCTAAAACCTAGTAACCTACGTGAAACCACCATTGTTTCTGCTTTTGCCATCGTCTCCTCCCTTGCCCCTCCTCTGCCTCCATTCCCTACTCTTTCACAGTCATCATCTTCCCCACAAACTTCTCAATCTACCTTCGCCTTTCACCTCCTCCCTCTTAACAAACATTTTCATAAAATTGAAGGACAATAAATTTCTTGTGCCTTCGATATATTTGTGGACAATACGAAACAAAGATTCTAGGTATCTGTTCATATCAATTGTTAACAGGATACTCCACTGATTGAATGATTGATGGGGAAGAGTAAAAGAAAGGACGAAGCAAGGATCGTCAATCTATCAGCTTTATGTTTATCTGGTCGGCGAAGAGAAGCACAAGCACGTTTCCTACGAATTATCTCTCAATTTTGAAATTTCCCAAACTTTTTTTTTTTTGGACAAAGAAAAATTTACCAAACTTATTTCCTTAAATTCCTGGAAGAATCAATAGAGCATGAAGTGAAAAGCAATTAGATGACCATGGTAGAAAGCCGTGGCGAAGCCAAGAACTACTGAGGAGAGCGGTGAGTAAAAGGTCCAGAAAAATGTAGGCAACCATTCGAGGTCTAAGTCCATAATTTGAAAGATTAGACAACATTTCATTCAACTAAGTGACCTCACTTTATTGAGAACTATCCAAAATATTCGAATGAGGATTTGTACTAAACAGAATATTCGAATGAAGATTTAGACTACCCGAAATATTCGAAGGAGGATTTTCTGGAATATTTGAAAGAGGATTTAAGCATTGTTTCTTATAGTATAGTTCCATTACATAATTGTATAATGAGCATGGTTCTAAAAGACGTTATGCGTTAGTTGGGTGACGTGATGTGTTGTAATGCCTAGCGCTTAAGCAAAGCCTAGCAAACTAGGCAGATTTAAGTAATTTATTATATGTATAAATAAGTTCTATTTATTATATAACCTAAATTATATCAAATAGTAATTATCTAACATATAATATACAAACATTGATAGATTTTCCTTAATATTTTGGTCCATTATATGAGATAAAAATTAAAGTGATTATGAGCTCGTAATATTTTACAAAATATTTTTTGAAACTCACATGAATAGATTTTAAGAGGAACAACTGTGTCAAATATGTGGCTTAAAAATATTGAGAAAGAAGGGTACATAGAAGGACGCAACTTAAATGGACAATAACTAAAAGAACAATTGGCTTAATTTGATTAGATTGTTGCAGTCCTATTAGATTAGGAATGTGATTGTGTAAATCCTAGTAGTTCTAGAAATATCTTTTATATTCCTATTAAGAGTTGATTACCTATTAAGAGTTGTAATCCTAAAAGGATAAGAATTTTACCTATCCTACTACTATAAATAAAGACACAATGCGGTAGAATAGAACACACCTCACAATTAAACATCTCTCTCTTCTCTTTCTATGCCGCACCTCCTCTCTCTCTGGCCTCCATACTTATTCAGTAAATTATGCCTACAACACGATCTTGACACTGTGCTAAAGAGAGTTTGGTCTTCAATCAGGGAAGTATTACGTTTTAATCATTCTTTTTATGATTAATTTATTATTTTATTGAATTGATCTACATGTTATTGATTCGATTTAACTTTTCTGTATTGAACGTGATACAATGCATTGGAGATGCAATTTCGGCTTTCAAAATGATCTTCTACAAATTCAAAGGCTTTTATTGTTTTCTGCCAATCAGGTACGCATAAAATAAAGTAAGACATTTGAAATGACCACGAAGCATGAAAACATTCCCCATGATGCATGAACCCCTACATTTATATTTACCTTCCGATATATATATATATATATATATATATATATATATCATACATTACGCAATTTTTGCTATGTAGAATTTGTGAGTCAAAGAATCGAAAGAAATTAGAAGCAAGTTAGGGTTTGACACTATTCGGCACCACCATAGCAGCAGCCCTTTGGGCCTTGTTGCAACCATATGGACACCCCCCAGGCATTCAGCATGGTTAACCTGCATGGGTTCGAAGCCCAATCTGCTCCCCAAGGAAGCCCGTAGACTTCTTGGCCGGTCATTGTGATCTCGGCCCAATCTGCTAGCAAGCTTTGTGCTTGCTAGGCTTTGCATCTGCCATGGCCTATGATTCTATATGCCAGCCCATGTGGCAGGGCATGTCCCACGACCCAATGAACATGGCCCCAACTCTGGCTGGGCTTCTCGTAAGCTAACCCGTAAGCCAACCTCGGCTGGGCTTGCTCCCGCGCCATGGTCTCGACCCATATATGCTAGCAGCTTGCTGTTGGGCTTAAAAACCCTCAACCCGTGGCCTGTAGCCACATGTAGGCTGCCTTTTGCAGCCAACTTGAGCCCAAAACGCCTCTAGAGCTTTGGCTTACTCATGGCACCCAAACCCAAATCCTTTTGAGCTATACTTTTTCGACCCAATGCTAATTTTTGGCATTCTAAATAACTTTAACCTGAATGTTATAATTATTTTTGTTTTTACGATCGACCCTGTTTGGTCCCGATCTATTGAATTAATTAAAAGTGACCTGCAATCCATTAATCTGACAAGAAATCCAAAATTATTGACCTAAATATCACTTTTGGACATTATCAATTCAATAATTTATTTCTCTTCTTTGAACCGTTGACACACTTTCGTAGTCCCGAAGTGCTCACACTTGAATTCCTGAAACAACTCAAATCCATTACACTTAAATCAGCATATTGCATTCTGTGTTCTTACATGAATCTCTCTTTTATGAACTAAACATTCATAAACTAAATTGAACCTATAGTTTCAAATTTAGTGCCTTTGAAACCTAAAGTTTTCATAAAACAATACACCCATGAAAACCCAACATTTTTCATGAAAACTATGTCTTATAACTCGAATGTTCTAACTTTGACGCTTATAGATGATTCATTCCTATAGCACCAATCACAATCTTGTTCCTTCCAAATTCAATGGATTGTCGAACCGTCACAAGTTCGATATCCCTTGTTTGGACGTTTCGAATAGAAACCACTTTATGTGGGGTACAAGACATTGCCTGAAGCACACCATGATTACGTCCATGAATGAGTACAATTCTGAAGTTTATAAATCATATCGAATTTTGATTAGAGCATACTTTTCTCTTCCTTCCATGTTTCTAACTCGCTTCTGAAATAACAGTGTAGAAAGCAGAAATTTACCAAATTCTTGGATCTGATTACTACCACAAACGTGAGAGAAAGGCATAAACTCAGTTCAACTAGAATCTATCGAATGGCTCGACCCAGTTCGGTCAAAGTCTACCGAACGGTGATGCCCTGCTTCGGCAATGATGCACAGAAGGGTATGCTCTACTTCGGCAGAGGTGCACCGAACGATAATACTCATTTTCAGTAGAGACTTACCGAACAGATCCTTCCAGCTTCGGCTGGAACCTACTAAACCCTAGTTTATTTCTGTCTCTCTCACAATCCAATTTCGAGTTTGTTTTTACAACATATGGTAGAATCAGGGCCTGCCAAGGTGTGGCATCATGCCCGAAGCATGATCCTTGGTACCTAAGACCTAAAACTTTAAGAATAAGGGATAGTATTCCCAAACCTTAACCTTGCAGAATCTACTTCTATCTCGATGGAATAAATCATTGGTTATGCACCCGTTCGTGCCCCTACCAATGGCATTGAGGAGTACTATTCCCGTAGCCAATCAGTGAACTAATTTTGCTCCACTAAACATCATTGGAAGAGCAAAATTTTGACATGGATGGCCTTATTGGTCGAATCCCTTTAGTAAACCATTTACTTTGTGAGCATTTTTCCATGTTCTTGGATTCAAGTTTGGTGTATGTTTTACTTATGGATAATCTTATTGATATTGTCCTCGAATACAAGTTCATTGAATCATGTTTCTTGCATACATGTGACCGAATTCAATTAAACACGTG